ACTAATGAAAAATCTACAGCAAAGTAAAATCTTACTAAATTAATAGAAGATTTTATTGATTTTTTAAAATATATATATATGTATTAATAAATCCAATGACACATCCTCTTTAGAGTGGGACACTAGTCTCCATAAATACTTCTAAGATAAAAAAATTATCTTAAATTACTACCAAACTATTTGAGTAATTTTAAGATTAATTTTTAATATTAAATATTTTGATAAATTACAAACACATTTAAAGCTTGGATAATTTGAAATCAAACCGATATCATCTTGTGATGGGCGTTGTGAAGGTATTATAACTTTCTTCACGCATAATTATACTTTCAAACCTAAAATTTGATTTCATTGATTAGAATCTATTATTTAAATATACCTAAATCAATTTTAAGACTTTTTTTAAATATGACAAATTTAATCGGATAATCAACTATATTTAAATAAAAAAAATTAGAGATGATTCCTAAAAAATATGTTTAACTATAAATAAATTCATAAATTTATACATTATGATAAAATTTTTTATTTTTTTAGGGTGTTTCTTTCTGTATCTATTCTCTTTAATTTTTTTCTTTATTTAGGGTTACTCTATTTATAGAGCCAAACAAGATCTCAAATCTCAAAAAATCTAATATTTTTGTTAAAAATTTGCTCCAAGTTAGGTCGGTTGTTAGAGAGTTACTGGTGATTGTCAGCGCAGCTTCCAATGGCCGAGATTTTGGACCTTCAAGATAGTTGCGTTTATTGCACTGAGACTTTTAGTAGAGAAGAGACCAGAATAGAAGAAAAAAAAATAACAATAATAAATAAATGTTTACAACATCCATATGTAAGAAAGAAGGGATAGTAATTTATTTTTAATAAAAAATATACCATTAATTTTATTTTTATTTTTTGGACACTTTTAAAAGAATAATACTGCGTCTCCTCGTCCATCAAATATTCTTGACAGTTGAAACGAATTATTCACAAAATATAATATATATTTAAAAGAAAGCGAATGATAACTTGATAGTATTAAATATTTATAGTACGTAGAGATTGCAATAGGGATAAAACCGGTTTTTACTCGTTTTGAATCTTATCTAATTTTATATAACAAATACTTAAATCCAATTTAATATTAAAATATTATACTTTTATAGCCAACCTGACTTGCATTTGTATAAATTCGTAATTAATTTAATTTAAAATTGATAAAATATTTTTTAAGATAAAATTTTTTAATATAAAATATTATTTTTTAAATATAATTATAAAATTATTTATATATAAATATATATAAATATCACATTAAATAAATAATAAAAAATATTATATATATGCCGAGTCAAGTTAAAGTAAATTTATCTAAAATTTGATTTCGTTTCGACCTAATTAAAAAGAATAACTCAACCCAAAATTTAATTTTAAAAAAAATTATAAAATCACGTCAAATCAAAACCTGATAAGTTCGGGTTTGATTGCCAACCCTGTGCGAAGTGATTCATGGGGAAATTTTCCACGAAAGGAGAGAAGCTTTAACTTCACCAAGAAACCAATTTAGACGTTCGCACTTCTTGTTGAATAAAACCTTCTTTCGAAGGTGATTCTAGGAAACAATAGGGTAAGTGGGGATGACTTTCCTGATGCAACAATTTCCTCTCTATCTCATTTGTAGACCTGTTCGTGATTGGATGGCCCGCCAAGCTTAAAGGCCTAACCGGACTTGATTAGAGCTTTGGATAACTTTTTTCAAATAAGTTCAATTTAATCCGACTTGATATATTTAATTTTAATTATAAAATACATTAAATTTATAAATATTTAATATAAAATATTTTTTAATATTTTAAAACCGAACTTAATTAAGCTGGCTTAGACAGGTAAGACCCAGACCTAATTTTTAGAAGAGCCAACCAAACTTAACTCGGCCCATAAACATTTTTATCATTTCCAACTTCAACAATAGTTTAATTTGTTGATAGTATCTTGATTAAATTAACCAATCCTTGACCTTCCCCCTTTTATCGACATGAATTGGCTTTTTTCCCTTTATATTAAAATTAGTCTCAATGAAAATAAAGGATGGGAAATTCCGCCAAGATTTCTTTTTTCATTGTTAAGATACTTTAGTATTTTTATTTTTTAATTTCTTTTTTCATCCTTTTTTTTCAACTAGGTAAATTCATTTTTTACTTTTACTTTTTTTTTCTCTTTCATCAATGCATTAGGTGTATCCAAATCTAATAATAAGAAAGACAAATTAGTAGCTTAATGTATTATTTTATAAAAGAGAATGTAATTTAGTGAAATTAAAAAAATTACAAGCGCTAAGGATTTATTTTTCTCTTTTGATATTTGAGGATTGAGCCATTAATTTTTAATTTTTCTTCATTTTCTGCTAACAAAATGGACAAACTTGACTAAAAATTTCGCATTAATTTAACTTATATTTTTTTAGCATAACCAAATATGTCATCTGGGGCATCTTTTCTAGTTTTGATTTGTTGAATTGTTCCCTACTTTGCATAAAAAAATAATTAAATAAATAGTTTATATATATATATATATATATTTATAGGTGAGAAAACTAATATATTGATCATTTGAGGTTCGAGGTTTAACTCTTGTCTAATCCAAGAAAAGATTATAATTTTTAAAATTCAAGCCAATTTTAAGAACGCCAAAGGCTTACAGTGCTCAATGAATAATAAATTTTTGTCACCAACAATTTTTTAGAAGGAAGAATTTATTTGAGCTCAACTCTTAGAATATTTCGAATCAAGCTTGTGGGTCTAGCCCTCAATAAGAGCTTTGGACAAGATTTTTCAAGTTAAGTTCGATCTAGCACGATCAAATATATTATTTTATTTAACTTTAATTTTAAAAATTATAAAGAAACCTCTTGTCATTTATTGAATAGACTACACATCATCCATTAAATTAATTAATTAAAAGTGTCACTATACTATTATTCTTAAAATTTTTATTTAAGTCAATACCTAACGTTACTTAAATTAGACAATTTATGGTTATCCTCAGTTAAACCCCTTAACAAAATATATATTATTCTAAAACTTTAACAAATAGATTTCTCCTATAAACCAATTCTTCTGGCCAAAAAAAAAACCAATTTTGACTTTCATACGTGTTGACCAAAATCTTCTTCCCAAATTCATTCTAAGAAACAATGGGGAAAGTGGGGAATCTATAGAAACGTTTAATGCTATCAATTTGCTTTCTTTTAAATAAATATTATATTTTGAGAATAATTCGTCTCAACTCTCAAGAATATTTAATGGAGGAGATATAGTTATTATTCTTTTGAAAGTGTCCATAAAATAAAAATAAATCAAATAAATGTTATATTTTTGGATTAAAAATATAGTTTCCCTTTTGTCATGTTATTACTCATTGACTTTTTTTATAAATAAAAATATTTTATTTATCAAAAAAAAAAAAAAGAACAGAAATACTGCTATATCAAGACTGTGTTAGCCAATGTGATTAGGATACAGAGAATCATAAATAAAAATATAGTCCTATGCCAGGTTATATAAAATTTCTGTTAGCATGTTCTATCAGAACATGATTCGATTAACACTGATTCAATCCTGATAATCTCAAACTGACAACCTGTTTAATATGACTTAGGACTTGTATTAAAAACTCTTGCAAATTTTCAAATAATTTGTTGTTCCTCTTCCTTTATATTTGATAAATATAAGCACGCCAAGTAATCCTTAATATAATGATAATCAAAGATTTTCCCTGTAAATTTTTTACTGCCCATCTCAATTGCTCTTCCAACTTGTCAACTTATATGTGAACCTGACATATAGAGTTGCAATTAGGGCCTTATTATAGTGGATTTCATTAGTTTTAAATCGTTATATATATAATAGAAGGATAATAAAGAAAAATATCGATAAGTGGCATTTCAATTGGAATAATTCTTCTCTCCTACATGTGATCGGAACCAGGTACGTTTGACTTTTTTTTTCTTTTTATAGTAAGGGGTACCCTTCACATTTTGGAGTTGACTATTGATCAATTAATTCAAAGAACGTTAGTAAACAACTTGCACAGCAACATATATAAAAAAGCTTAATATTGTTCAATAAGTTCAAAATTGCTCTTACTTTGAGAAAATAAGAAAAGAAAGAAGACAATTTAACATTCTTTAGGCTTTCCTACGCCGGTACCAAGCGAAGAGGCTTGTGAAATTACGAAAAGAAGCATAAGGTGAGATAGAACATGTTTCTTCCATGCTTTTGGTATCAAGTTTGCACATTTTGAGGTACTTTGTGAAGTTTTTTTCATTCTCATAATTTGGTTGATCAATTGTTTTGAATTTATTCACTTTTTCTTCTTAATTTTTATGTAATAATATATATATTTGTGGAGGGCCATGCCATATCTCTTAGATGAGGTGTTTAAAACTTAAATTTTATAGTGGATCTTTTAAAATTAGGGTTGGGATTTGAGCATGTTAAAGAGATCATTGACGTTTTAAAAAAGCCCTCATTTTTTCCTCTCTTTTTTTTTCATGTTTTGGAGTTTAGATTGCCATTTGAGCTTTTTGAAGTGATAATTGAAGTAAAAAAAAAAAACTCATTCTTGATATATCAAAATAATAAAAAAGGAAAGAAAACTAATTTTTTTATTAAAAAAAGAAAAGAATTGAATTCATCAAAACTGAAACACATGCATTTATTATTGAATTAAAACAATCAAGTGCAAAGCAAGATTGATTTTGTACCAATTGAAAAGGAATAGAATGAAATTAACTTGATAGTCATGAAAGACAACAAGAAAAATAAAATAAAATCTTAATATAAAATTTCTCGTAATCCAAACAATATTGAGATAAAAACCTAATTGGTTGCTTGTTTTGTTTATTCAGTGACTTCTTATATATACAACGATCCAATATCTCTACTTCTTGCCAAAAATCAGATCCCTTCATTTTCAGGCAAATCTTGTTGATTTTGGAGATGGAAATGAGTACAGCCCCATGCAATTGATTAACAGTGAAGGAGATTTCAACGTGGATGGAGTTGACGAATTCATGCAGAAAACTGAGCTATATAAGTGCGGCCTCTCTTATGTTGTGGTTGCCATCATGAGACCCCAAAGTAGCGGTGTGTGAGATATTTATTCTTTTTTCAGTTCTTTTACAATTCTACACAAGACTTAAAACTTAAAAGTAGAGCTCCGGAAAAAGGAAATAGAGTTGGTATCAATAGGCAAACAGCCTTCATTCAATTTAACATTCAAATTATTGGAAGTAAAATAAATTATAAATTATTCGTACAAGATATAATAATTTAATGTATTTTAGCACCTAACTTACCTTCCTCCACAAATAAAGAAAAAATCAATTAATTATAAAAAATTACAAACATACAATTTAAATCCTAATCTAATTTCTAACAATCTCATTCAAATATACACATATACCTATATGAATCCTCTCATTCTCCTCTAATCTACTCACAAACATAACAAATATTATATATGGACTCTTTAACAAGCATTATATCCATGGACTCTCTTATTCTCTTATGGAGTATTCATACACCAAATATTAAAAATACACACCCATACGGGCCCTCTCATTCTAACATATATACCTATATGAACCATCTCATTTTAACATATACACCCATATAGACCCCCTCATTCTTCCCTTATCCTATAAAGTATATATCTTGTAAAATTTTATAACTTTTTTTTTTCATAAATCTAATCTTATAGAGACTCACTATTTATAAGCCTACTAACTTGGTTATTAAGAATCTATTTCCTTTTAAAATTTTTCTCTTGCAAGTCTTAATATTATCCATTAAGTAATATTTAGTTAATCTTGAAAAAAATCTCAAATATATATCTTATCAAATTTTTTAGAATTTGAGTTACTCTGCTTAATAGATATAACTAATTGACTTCAAAAATCATTCAATTTGTTTTGTTCAAATCTAAATTTGATCCAATTTGAGTTAATAAAAAAAAGTTAATAACACAATATAATATAATAGTAAAATTGAATAAGATGTTTACCTGAATATCAACTAAGTTAGAGGTATATATTATGAGCTTATTAATGTATTAATACGGTATCTATCCATCCTTTTTCGATTATTTTCAAGTTAAATGTTCCTTTTAAAATTTTAAAATATCCTTAAATTTGTTAGAAAAATATTGATACCAATCTATTTACCAAGTATTTAGCTTTTCCGCTCTTTAAGCATACACAATTTATATTGCTTATAATTAAGTGATTATAGCTTGTACGCTAAAAACAATTGCTCTGCTAACAGGGAAGAGCACCCTTTTAAATCATCTTTTCAATACAAATTTCAGAGAGACGGATGCATCAGAAGGAAGGTTTGTTCTTTCATTGTTATTTTTCAAAGGAAAAAAATATATATATCTGCTCTTTGGTTAAAGTTTGAATTTAGTCTTTTTACTATCTCAATTTTGTTGTTTTAGCCTTTCTACTTTAGTTTTGATAAATTTAATCATCAACTTTTATTAAAAGTATATTTATGAACAATTGATAACAATATTAAAATTTTATCTTTAATTTAGATGGCATGAAAGTTTGCTGATTGCTTGACATGATGAAGTAGAGTAAATCTCCACATATCAGATTAAAAAATATCATAATTTATTTTAATTAAATAATCATTAATATTTTTAAATTAAAAAATAGTATTTTTATTATAAAAAATAAAGTTTTTTCATTATTAATGTATGTAATGTGGTAAAAAAATTTAATAAGCATGTTAAGTCCTCAACAAAAATATAGAATTTAAGGACAAATTAAATTAAAACTTTAAGGTTTGCATCTTTATATTACCTTTTGCAGCTTTCATATAGTCGAATTTAATTGCAAAAGTTAGCCCTCACAATACGTCTTAAATCGATGAATTTTTATATAAAAGGGCTTAAAATAAATTATAAAATTAGAGTATAGGGATCAAAACCATATAAATAAAATAGTAAAGGACTAATTTCAAACTGGATTTTCACATAAACATACAATTATTTTCTCCATTTTTAGGCTTTTGATACTATAATAAAAAATTTAATTTCGTTGCATGAAACAAGTCAACAGGAATTTGGATGGAAAGAGGCTGGCGTAAGCTTTCATAGTTGCGATGGATTTGGAGGGTAATGATGGAAGTGAAAGAGGCGAGGTAAGAATAATTAGCTTAATTTGTTAAGATGCGTTTCGTTGTTTAAGATAAACGTATTTGCAATACCAATAAGGTGACTGCATAATTCTCAAAACATTTTGCAGTATTCATAGACTTGGGAATTTCCGTTATTTTCAGGATGACACTGCATTTGAGAAACAAATAGCTCTATTCGCTTTGGCTATTGCTGATATTGTGATAATAAACATGTCAGTTAATTTTTAATATGAGTAGATCGCTTTGAAATTGACATATTCAATATATATGGATTCGATCCGTACTTGACCTTGGTTGCATTTGAACCATAATCACTCGAACTAAAAACTGATATAGGTGGTGTCATGATGTTGGTCGGAAGCATGCTGCCAACAAACCTTTATTGAGAACAGTTTTTCAGGTACTGATCATTCTACTATGCAAATCCTTGTATGTGCCTGCATGTTTTTGTATATATATATATAAGTTATGCATATATATATATATATATATATATATTAAACATCTTGTATGTTTTTGTATTGCACTTTGTACCCTATTATTCTAAGTATGCAAGCCATCCTATAAATCAAAAATTAAACTTTAATATTAATAGTTGAATCATAGAGATTGTTGCCTAAGGGAAATTCAGGAAGAGGAATTTGCAAATGTTGAGGATCGAACCCCACCATGCTATAAACCACTTCTTACTATGTATTATATAAAATTTTTCCTCTTTCATATGCAGCCATCAGACATGTTAATTGGGATACTTCCGAAGTCCGAGAAAAACTTGTCCAACATATTGATTCGTCCAAATCATCAGTTCGTGAAGAAATTTTTTCAAAATGGAAAATTGAATACTAGGTGATTTTCTTGAAAGCTATTCCTTATACATGCAACTTATATGTATTTCATCAAAAAATTAAACGTTGACATGTTATTGATCCTCGGGAAAGACTTGATAGAGAACTATCCAAACAACTAGAGTCCCTGTTTGAAAATCCTAATCGAGAAATCTGGGCTTCAATAAGAAAACTTCTTAAGTTTGCAACACAGGAAATGTTAGATATCATTTCTTGTTTGAAGTTAGAACAAGAGAAAAGCAACAAAATGATGCAAGATTTGATGGACTATGCTAGAAACGTGGTGGAGAGAAAAGCAAGAGAAGCAGCTGAAAAGGTTCAGCAACTAACGGAAATTAGGTATGTAACTTAATTTTCGAATTCATTGTTTTAAACCCCATTAAATTTCCTGCAAATTTAGCAGCGTTTTAATTGGCCAAAATAAAAATAGCAGCGTTTATTTTGATAAAAACTGCTAAATTATATAAATTATCGACATTGTTGTTAACAAACAGTCATTAAATATATCCAAATGGTGCATTTAGAATTTAAACAATTTTTAGTGGCGATTTACTAACAAATGCTGTCTATTTTAAAATTTAGCAGTGTTTTCTCTTAAAATGTCATTACCATTTTCAAATCACGAAATCTCGAGACTTTTTTAATGAAATATGGCAAAAAAAAATCCATTTTTGTTTAGTGCTCATTAGATTTTTTTTTTTTGGATAATACAATCAAGGGTGTCTCTAGAATTTCCTAATAACTTAATTTTATTATTCATTACTATAATTAATTAGAAGGATCGCTCGTTTTTAATCCCTGAAAGCATATATATGTCAGGTTCGTATCCATCCTGAACGATGAGACTGTGAGAAAAAAAGACACAAAAAAAGTTGTTAGGGCTGCTCGAGCTGAGGTAATTAATTTGCTTAGTTATTTCATGGCTATTAGTTTTTTTTTTTTTTTCGTTAATCTAAAATGTCTTCAAATATTGTTCGATTGCAGTCTCTTAAGCTTTTGTCTGTAATGACCGCCATGCGATTAGATGAGAAACCGGATAAAATTGAGAAAATGCTCTTTTCATGCCTTATGGATGGAAAAGTGCGTTCAAAAACTCTTGCCTCAAATGTCACGGACCTAAGAAAGAGTCATAAATCCCACATCGAACATAATAGGAGGGTCCCTGGAGTATAAAAGGGTTCACACCACCTTCGTCTTGTGAGGCACCTTTTGTAGGACAAAACCGTGAGGTCAAGAGGGTCAGAGCGGACAATACCTCACAAGGGTGTGAACTATGACGGTCAGGCTAATCTGGGACGCCGAAAGGGTGAATGCTCGGGTCCCGGAGCCGCGCGGGTTCGGAGCCTAAGTCTCGACCCGTGACAAGTGGTATCAGAGTCAGCCCTAAACCGTTCGATCCACGCCAAGCACCTCGAGGGAGGTAGGCAGGGTTGCCAGCCTCCGTGACGAGGGCGTCACGAGGTTGGGTGCGGGAGAATGTCACGGACCTAAGGAAGAGTCCTGAATCCCACATCGAATATAATAGGAGGGTCCCTGGGGTATAAAAGGGTTCACACCACCTCCGTCTTGTGAGGCGCCTTTTGTAGGACAAAACCGTGAGGCTAGGAGGGCCAGAGCGGACAATACCTCACAAGAGTGTGAACCGTGGTGGTCAAGCTGATCTGGGATGCTGGAAGGGTGAATGCCCAGATCCCGGAGCCGCGCGGGTTCGGAGCTTAAGTCTCGACCCGTGACACAAGCACATGACCAGAGGTATAGTAGGTTTGGATGGTTAATTACTTTCTTGACAAAATAAGCCCTCGAATTATGGTAAAATTATCGATACTTAAGCCCCTGCTTTTTTATTTGTTTCAATTGAGCTCTCAACTCATTATTTGGTGTCAAATGAACTCAATGTTTAAATAAGTTACGCGATAAATCACATCAATGGCTTTCATTCAAATTCAGCTTATTTCGACACCAAATAATAGATTGAGATTTCGATTGACACAAATAAAAGAGTAGGATCTTAAGAGAAAATTTTTTTCATAGTTATTTAATCACATTATTTAATCACAAATAAAATCAAATGTGTTAGGTTTCTCCGAAGGATACCCTAATTACACCAGCGCAATGCAATTCATTATGGGAACGCTTCCAAGCAGATGGCTTCACTCCTACTCAAGATTTTGTTCAAACACAGGTACATTATATCAATTAATTGAGGAACAATTTCGGCCTTAATTTCTTTGACCATTTTGTTTTGTTTTGTATTAGGGAGGGATAAAGGGCCTCTATATAGCTGCTGCGAGTCTTGCAGTTTCTGTTGCGAGCCTTGGAGCTGCCATTGCAGCTCTTCCAGGTGCCGCTATTGTTCTTAGTGGTGTTATTGTTTTACTTTAAGGCTTAAAATTTTCAAACAAAAGGACCATCATATTTATGATAAATTGGAAAAGTGATTACTTTGCCAATCAGAATTAGAATCTTGTGTTGCAAAATTTGGTTGATAATAATCAAAGCTGGTTGTTTCTGTACATTTGAAGATCCATTGTGAGATTGTAATAATTGAAGATCCATTGTTTCTGTATATTTGATTATAATTTAAACTTTTAGTTGAAGAATATAACCTATTAAAAAAGTTTCTCCTTTTTTTAGTTAAGCGGCAAGAGGCTCTGAAAATTTGCTCAATATAAATTTTTTCTTCGAGCCGATCGAAGTTTCTCTTTTCTTGATACCTTTGAATTTGAATTCCAATAGCCAAAATAGAAAACTATCTTGCTTCGTGCACTCAAAAAAAAATTTTTTTTTTGAAAGGCAAAGGAATTTTTTCAATGAAGGGTAAGGAGGTACAGTATTAAGAGATTTAGGAAAAGATAGAATGAGAAAAGAACAGAACACGAAAAAAGAAACACAATTACAATCAAGCACGTAAATCCTGTGAACGAGATACCCCAGCTTTAGCAAACTCATTAGCAATGGAGTTGGCCTTCCGTAGGATATGCTTCAATGTTACTCCCTTGAGGATCCTGATGAGGACATCAATATGGTTCGCAATGTGTTTCATCCACCAAGAAACGGCTGCACGATTGTTGGACCAAATGATTGCATTAGTAGAATCACTTTCCACAACAAGAACGTGTGAATGGGCCCAAATAGAAGAAGCAAAGAAGCTAAGACCCTCTTTGATTGCCATAAACTCCGCAAAATTAGAATCCTTGATTCTCCGATTATCGAGAGATATTGATTTTTCCAGGAAGTGAGCCTGTACGAACTTTTTCAATGACTGGCAGCTAAGTGGACATAGAATAGGGACTAGCACCCAATGGTAGACCCAGGTATTTGGAAGGGAGTTGATCTGTCTTACAATTAATTGCATCAGCCCAGTTTCGCAGTGTATGTTGATCAATATTCACCCCCATTAAGTAGCTTTTGAAAAAGTTAATTTTAAGTCCTTTTATATTCAGAAGCTGTTGAAGATCAGGTTTACAAACAGGATGCTATCGTCTACGAATTGCACAAGAGGAATCATTACAGAATTATTCCTAATCTTTGTTTCCTGGAAGAGTCCTACGAGGTAGCTTTATCAAAGGATTCAAAGAGAGTCAGCAGCCAAGTTGGAGAGAAATGGACTGTCTCAATCCTCGTTTCACAGAAAATTGTGAAGTTGGAGAAGGCGAACCATTGATCAATACAGAGATAGAGGCCGTTGAGATACACTGGGAGATCCAGCCTCGCCATTTGGTACTGAAGCCCATTCTGGACATTACAAAGTCAAGAAAGATCAAGACCATACCATCAAAGGCTTTCTCGAAATCAACCTTGAGTATTAACCCACCAGCTCTATTTTTCTTCATTGACTGAATCACTTCATTGGCAATAAGGGAACAATCAAGAATTTCTTCAATCACTAAGTACGTGATTTTCTTCAAACGATTGCACTCAACTTTCTTATCAACAAAATTCCTCCGCCTTTCCAAAAAGAAAAAACCCTCAAAATCTTATTATTCATAATTTTCTAATCAATTATCATATTATCAAGCAGATATAGTTCAAAGTGCCAATCCCTTTACACTCAATTTCATATATTTAAGTCTCATCATATATGAGTTCAATTAATATTTAGTTCAGTATTTTATTTGTTAATTTGTTGGTTTAGCTTTGTTTAATTTATTAATCTAAACTTTGGTACATGAATAAATAATTATTTCCATATGCATTAAAAGTTGTTTGATTATAACAATAATTTAGAAAGATAATATTGTTATAATTGGTTCAATTATTTGATTATGAATTTGATGGAATCTAATAGTAGCAGTGATCATATAATTAATTAAACATAAATTATATTTAAAGGTATTTAAATGAAATTTAATTAGACTCCTCTTGATAAAATGGCATCCAAATCTTTGTTGAAAGGTCTTGTTAATTAAACCTTAATTAGATCCAAGAACCAAAGTGTCGATTGCCTACTTTTGCATTAGAGAGATTTGCATTTGATTTTGTTGAAAACACATATTATTATGGTTTTTATCACGTTATTTGAATTAAAAATTCAATTAAATATAAGATAAATTCAACGCTTTCATTAATTGTTAACTAAGTGGATAATTATAAAATGATGTGGCATGTTGACAAGGCTTAAATATCGATCTTAATTTGAAAAATAAGATTAAAAGCACCCTATTTTGAGATAAATTAAGATCTTATAATACTTTGGTTTGAAAAAAAAAATTAAAAAGAAAACCTCGTTCTGATTAAAGTGATGGTATTGTCCTAGTAGAATCATTCATCATATTCTAATCGAAAATTTAATCTAGTTGTGTCGATTGGGACATGGTTCAACAGGAAATTTCTAGTTATGTTCGCTGATCTTTGTAATAAAAAAAAAAAAAAGATTCGGACATGGTAATTCAACATGTAGATTTTTGGAGTTTGATTTTCAATAAGAGTATAATTATGTCAAGCTAAGTTGAGCTAATACAATGACAAATTAGAGTTTAAAGTTAATTCGAAATTTAATCCAAGTTTTATCGAATTTTAATTTTCAAATTCAAATTTGGTTTAAAATAAAAATTAAATTACTTGAACTTACTTGATTAAATTTTTTTATTGAATAAAAATAAATTCAATTTCTATACTCAATTTTAAATTCAATTATTTTATTCGAATTGGAATTTAAATTGATATATATATATATATATAGTAGTCAAACTTTGATTGTCAGCTCTTAAAATTCACACTTCTCAGTCCCCTAAGCTTGGGTCTCCCATGTAAAAGAAACAAATAAGAAGAGAAATTAATAGAATATGATTATAGTTATTAGTTATAAATATAATTATGGTAGATTAGGGGTATAATCGAGTCGATACAGTGAGAAGCTCGAGCTTGAGCTCGACTCCCAACTCACAGCTCGATACTCGACTCGAATTCGATCGAGTCTCGTTTTCTTAGCTCGAGTTCGATTCGTGATCGAGATCGAGTTACTCGAGCTCTCTCGATTAATATATAAAAATAAGTTCAATTCGTATACTCGACAAAAATTCGATTATTTGTGCTCGAGCTTGAACTCGAATTTGATATATTTTATTAATTAAAATAATAAAAAAATTTAAATATAAAAATTTGATTAGGTTCGCGAGCTACTCGAGTCAAGTATAAGAATACTCGAACTAGACTCGATCGATGAGTCAAGCTACTCGAGCTCGAGCACGACTCAATAATAATCAAACCGAATTCGAGTTTTATTCGAATCGAACCCAAGTAGCTTGTGATACTAATGTATCATTTACTCCCCTATGGTACCAGATCAACCTGACTGCACTCATTTAATTTTTATTTAATTTTATAATATTTTATATTTAATAATATAATAATATTAATATTTTATATTTCAAACACATTTTATAATTAAATTTAAATTTGAAAAAATATTTAATAACATAATGCAGTTGGTTCGATCAGACCCGAACCTTAAAAATCCTCTCTAGTGCCCTATCAAATCGAGCCAAACCCACGAGCGTGACAAGCAACCGAGCTCGCAAATAGGTTTAGGGAAGTTATTAGTACTATATATCTGCTTGATTTTGCTCGTGAAGAATACTATTCTACTTCCTTTTATACATTTAAATTTAAAATTTTACAAATTTTTTATAAAATTTAATTATAAATTGCCTTTGAGTAAATACTGTCTAATTTTCAAAGTTTGTTAGCAATATAATTTTTGATCGAATAATTCTATCATTTTCGTAGATATTGAATTTTTATATTATTTTCTTAGTTATTGAATTTTTATAATATTTTCCCTAGCACCATGCAAGTTGATGATTCTATTATATATATTATATATCTTCCACTGCACTATACTAGTACAAATCCATGTCGGATAATATTAAATTTATTCTTGTTGCATACTCCATTTATTTGTTTGTTTTTGTTTGATTTTTTTTTTTTTTTTGAATATGTAGTATTTCATTATCCAAATAAGCAAGAAAAACTTACCATATCAAACACAGACTATAGTCAAATATATAATAATAGATTAGACAATGACCAAATGTTAAGAGTTTATGAGTTTTGTTGAAAGACAGGAGAATTTGATTGATAAGAGAATCATGAATGCAAGGTATAACTTTATTTTTTTCTCAAGGATAATAAAATTTTTGAACAAAAGTTTAATAATCATTTAAATTATTGATATTTTATTACAATGAATCAAATCTTAAATTTTTTATTTCAAATTAATTGAATCATTAAATATTTATTTTCACATAATTAAACTTTTAAACATTTATTTTCATTTAATTGAACCATTAATTAAACAAAAATTATTGTTTACGCTTAATTTTTAATAAATAGATATTTGAGAACTTAATTAATTATAATAAAATTGTAGACACCCAATTTGGTTCAAGTCCGGATCAATTGAGCCTGGTCCAAATGAGTAAACCCATTTGTATTTTTAGTTTTATTTTTTATTTATATATATATTTTATTATTATTTATCTATTAATCTTTTTTATTTATCTATTAATATATATACATTTTTATTATTTATTAATATATTTTTTATTATTTATCTATTAATGTATATTTTTTATATTTATCTATTATTTTTATTTTTATTTATCTATTAATATTTTTTGTTATATTTATCTCTTTTTTTTTTTGTTGGTTTGTCCGGTCTTAATTATGATTCTTGGTTCTAGAAGGGAGTTTGGCCGTAAATCAGGAGACTGGGAGAGTTGGGATTGGATTCAAAGATTGAATCCAAATCTCAAAGGAAATTGAGATTAATTAGAAATTCTTCTGATCAATCTTTATAAATAGGTATTGAAACAGAATCCAATGGGACATGAAAAAAACACATACAGAGAGAAAACATAAGCTAAAAAGGTTCTGGTGCTTAGATATAGCTTTAGGAATCTGTGAAAATTTTTTTAGAATTTTGAAATTTTTTTTCTGAAAAATTTTTAAATTTTTTTCAGAATCCGGTGAAATTTTTTAGCGAACCTTGAATTTTTCGATGAGTTTTCCGGTCAACTTTAAAGTTTCAAGCATTATTTTTCAGAATTCGATGGAAATTCAACTGGATTTTGGGTTGTGTTCTTCAGGTAGAGAGAAGGAGGAGAAAGCTGAAGGGAAGAGAGAGAAAGGGGAAGACGCATCCGAAGAAAAAATCTGTTCTTTGTCTTTTATATCCGTGCAAAACGACGTCATTTTAGTGTTAGTATGTTATCAAGATCCGCGTGTTTTTATTTGGGCTGACCCGACCCGATCACAACCCGATTTGTTAACCCACATGCTAGCTGATCCCTGGAGCTGAGCTAAGCCGAGCCGAGCCGAGCCGCGTCTTCGAGCCTTCTTTTCTGTCTTGAGCCGAGCCGTTCCAAAAAAATTTTTTTCTTATTTATTATTATTATTATTATTATTTCTTTTATTATTATTATTATTATTATTATTATTATTGATTGGATTAGAATTATTTAGTATTTTTATTTTATTTTTATTTTTATCTTTATTTTTATTTTATTTTTTTGATTTTCTTTAAATAAAATTTTAAAAAAAAAATATTTTTGAGGAAAAGTTGAAAGTATCAATTTTCCTTGAAAATAAGTTTTCTAAAAAATATTTTCAAGAAAAAGTTGAAAGTATCAATTTTCTTTGAAAATGATTTTCTAAAAAATGATATTTTTTTTTTAGAAAAAGTTGAAAGTATCAATTTTTCTCGAAATTGAAATTTCAAAAAAATATTTTAAGGAAAAGTTGAAAGTATCAATTTTTCTTGTATAAAAGCAATGAGTTTTTGAAGAGAAAAGGATTTATATCTAAAGCTAAATCATTTTTTTTCATTTTATTTCTTTTCCTTTTTGTGTCTTGAATTTTCTTTAATGTTAAATAATCTGACGATAAAGCCTCTACAAGTGAAACAGTAGTCTTCTTGCATACTCTTGAGGTGAGAGAATTTTTTTAATTTTCTGCTAAAAGTATTAGAGTCAATTGAGAATAATTTTCAATAATTAATTACATAGTAAATTTTTAAAGTTTATTGGATAACAAAAAATTAAGTTGGTACTATCTTTTGATGGGCGTTGTAAGGGTACTATACCCTTCCTTACACGTAACCGTACTCTCAAACTATATTCTAGTTAGTAGACCTGAATCTATTTTTTTAACGACTTTTAGGCTTAGATATTCCTTAAAAGGATAGATTCTTTAAGTGACCAATCGTACTTAAATAAAAAAGATTAATGGCGATTCCTTCAAGTCAATGTCTAGCGATAGATCTCTGAATCTAGACGTTATAACAAAAATGATAGAGAATTTGAATTATCATTTAATTATAGTTTATGAGTTTTTTTTTATATTTACAACATTTTTTCCTCCCATTGGAATTCAAATTCAAAAGCACATGCAGGACAGAAGAAACTTTTAAAAGAAATTTGTAGGACAACAGAAAGTAGTTATGATAGAATTGAAACATAAGTACTCGAACTCCCAATATAGTTGAAATGACCAGCTTGAGAAATATGATCAACCAATTTATTTCCCTTCATTTTTATTGGGTGCTTGCTAAATCTTGGCACGATTGACTCACATGATCAAAAAAATCACCCAACTCTCCTAAGCCGAAAAGAACGCCCACAGTATCAAGTCCAACCCGCAGAGTCAATTTTAAAGCCGATTTTAGCCAGTAAAGCTTTCGTGATTGTCTTGTATCCTGGAAAGAAACAAAATCGTTAGAGAAACCGAATTGATTATTTGCAAACCTTTAAAGATGTTCAGTTAGTCCGATGATCTGACCTAATTTATGAACACCTTTAATGGTAAAAGAAATGTACCTGTCCATCGTGAAAAGCTTGAGTAATGGAGACAATCTCTGCTTGGAAGTCTTCCCATACTGATTTGCATTCCTCTGGTGTGATCAGCGTATCATTTGGAGAAACCTAACACAGTCGATTTTACATAAGAAAATATGAATTGTTTATATATATATATATATATAATTCTTGTATTAAGCATTAAGTAACCACCCCAAATATATAATAGGTACCTCCGGCCATGTGCTTGAGGCAAGAGTTTCTGAAGACTCACTTCCATGCATGAGGGAGGAAAACAGTATGTTCTCTATTTCATCCGGTTTTTCATCTAATCGTATGGCTGCCATAACAGATAAGAGCCGAAGAGACTGCGATAAAACAATATTTGAAGATTTTCATATTAATGTCGCAAAAAAAATTAAAGTTCCAATCATGAAATGTAAACTAAGCAAATTAATTACCTCATTGCGGGCAATACTAGTAATTGTTGTTCTGTCATCTCTTCTTCCAGCCGCATCAGTCAAGATAACTGAGAACCTGACATATATATATGCTCTCAAGTATTAAAAATGAGTTATCATTCTAAAGAAATTACAGAAATATCGAATACAAAAATTTTAAATTCCCTAGCTACCTAATTGTCATTGAGAGCAGAACATTTTCAGCTTCTTCTCTTGCTTTTCTCTCTACTACATTTCTAGCGTAGTCCCTCAGACCTTGTACCATTTTGTTGCTTTTCTCTTGATCTAACTCAAAGCCAGAAATGCCAGCCAACAATTTCGATAAAGCAATCTGAGTCTTACATGAAAGAAGCTCTCTTATTGAAGCCCAGGTCTCCTCATTAGGATTTTTAAGCAGGGACTTCAGTGGTTCATGCAGTGCTCCATTAAGTTCTTCCTGAGCATCAGTAACATGTCAATAATTTTTTTTAATTGAAATACATATATATATGTTGCATGCATAAGGGATAGCTTTCAAGAAAATCACCTCACATCCAACTTTCAATTTAGACAAAATTTCTTCAGCAATCGTTGATTTGGACGAATCAATATCATGGAAAAGTTTTTGTCGGACTTCGGAATTATCCCAGTTAAGATGTTCGGTGGCAGCCTCTGCAAGAGGAAAAAATAGAAAGCAGATGCACAAGTTGAAAATTAAAAAAAAAAGGTTGTTATTCTAAAAATCAAATTGATATATTATTTACAAGATTTGTGGACCTTACAATTTCAAATATGATACATGACATGAGAAAAGAATATGAATATAATACAATTTAAAATTTTAACAATAATTATATATGGATTTAATAAAATTAAAAAGTAATATATATTTCATGTTTTCATATGAATATAAATTATGACATACAACTTTCATATAAAATATAATATAAATATACAAATTACAATTTTTATATGATACAAAAACACAAATCGTCATATCTAAATTAACCAAGCATTCCTGCAGGTGTCATTTTCTCTTCAGGGAAGTTAGCAGTTAACAATCATCAATAACAAGTATTGTAACATGCATGCTGGTTATTAAGTTCAATTCTAACTTTGACTACTTTTGGAGTTTGAAGCTTCCTCTATTTTTACAAATAGTATATTAGAAATTTAAAAACTTCACTTATAGAATTAGAGAGCTTTCATATATACTATAATGATACATTTTAAAATTTTATATGATAAATTTTAGCATTGTTTGACTAATAATCGCATGATTTATTGACGAAATATTAAAATCTTAATTCAAGTGATCATGGTTTAAATTTTGATAATTTTACATATTAAAAATTTAAAACTCCACCTGACAATATATAAAAATTAATGTCAATTAAAAAATTAATACTCCTCAGCTCTAGGGTTCAACTATTGATATTAACGTGTAATTTTTGACATATAGGATCTATTGCATACTTGGAATAGGGTACAAAGTACAAGACAGAAAGTTACATTTATAAATTACCTGCACATGCTTGGTCAAACTGGAGTATTTCAGAATTGAGACACAATCTAGCAGCAGCTGCAAATCCTACTCCTTCGTTTAGCTTATCTTCCAGTTTAGACTTAAAATTTTCCAGTGCTTCGAAGTGTAAATGTTCCAAATACTTAAGATAAGCAGGACGCACAAACTGCAAAATTTAGGAGTCAATGATCAAAAAACCATATAACATGTAGTTTTATATTTATTTATTTTTAGTACTTTTTTTTATTATTATTAACAACTATCAAAAGTAGTATCACATTAAAATGTGCTTTACAATTTGTATGATAATCATATGAATGACAAACATATTATTAGTAATGCATTATTGACGGAGTTCTGAGAGAGTATATGTCCTTACATCCAAAGCTTTTGACTGCAGTTGTTTTCGTTTTTCATTTCTGACACCCTTCATCAAAGTAGATTGTCTCCTTGTCATATCTATGGTAAAGAATTTCAAGATTAAAGCCTCCATAAAAGGGGGGGTGGGAAGAAAAGGAAACATAATGTTCCAACTTACTCCGAAAGAACAGATGTCTAAGATTTTAGTCAACTTGCTCCCAAAACTGGGATAACCTGGCCCAGATTGAATAGCTCTTTCCATTGCTAGCAATCCTATACAATATTTACCTTGATCAATGGCTAATAATTAAACAGTATTTTCAAATTTGCACCCAATCTACAAGGTAACTTGTCCACTTTAACTTGAAAGGTAGCAAGATTTACTCTGCCAAAAAAGATGCATGCAAGAGTATACATACCTCTTTACAAGATAACTGATGAAGCGTCTGATTGACAATCTCTTCACAACGAATTGTGGCAACCATTACCTGATAAACATGATGAACAACATTTACTCTTATGAGGAACCAATAAATTATAAATGCTAATATATTTAATGGTCAATAAAAAAAACCTTGTGCGTGGGAAGATCCAGATCCTTGTTTTCTTTTATACTTTCCCATATATGTTGTGCACTAGCAAAAAATCCAGAGGCGGGAACAGAATAGTTTCTATCACCACTAGCAAGTTCTCTTTTAGAAATAGAATCAATTTGCTGCCTCAATGAATCAACCTGCTTATTAAGACATAAGTCTCTACTTAACCCACAAATTATATTAATTAAATTTAGTGAAGCAAGATAATCACAGTTTATTGACTAGAAATAGTAGTATATATATACCTCTTCTTTGAACAGCTCCTCTTTTTCTTCATAGCTTGATAAAGCAACAACCTCCACCTTCATTTCAAACATCAATATGTAAAATGATGCTTTAACAATATGAAGTAGTGAAATATAAAACGGAACACTTACAAAGTGGTCAACAGAAAGAGAGAGAGAGAGAGATATATATATATAACCTTTTACTTACGTTAAAAAATTTACTAAGTGGAGTATCAATATATCTTGCAGGTTTATGAATTGAATCCCATATCTGCATCAATCATGAGCAAAATGTAAAGATAGAATACGAGAAAAATTAAGGAAGAGATCAGAGCAACTGAAACAAGTAAAGGATTATATACAGGATATATACCTTTTCTGCAGCCTTCCTCAGGGTATGCTCAAAATAGTGTAGAGAGGTCTAGATCACACACAATAAGGAACAAGAAACAGACTCACTAAGCAAAAGTTGTATCTCAAAGGTTTTATAAGGAAGTTTGATCTCAACTCAGTTTAGTAGAAATTAAATTAAAGGCAGAAATCCAGACCTTAGTTTTATCACGTAATACAAATAGCAGTGTTGTTTTCCGAGCACTGAATAATTTCATCATAACCTGATTCAGAAAAAAAGATGCAATAAGATTGTCAAGCACAATAAACATGCACACACTTAGAAGGATTTGCACAATAGAATAATCAGTACCTGAAAAACAGTTCTCAGTAGAGGTTTGTTGGCAGCATGCTCCAGACCAACATTGTGACACCACCTGTATTTACATCCATCGCACATGAGTGATCAATATTTAGTTTCAGTGACTAGGATTCAAACTATATGGTAGCCCTAATTGAAACACCAAGGCATACAATCATACAGTTTTACCAAATCCTAAGTCCAAAACTACTTGGAAGACCAAACTCATATTTTTTTCTTATACCATGTCATTCGAGCTTGTTCATAGGTAAAAGTTGTAGGCTCCACAGCTTGAGACAAGTTCAAGGTTATCCAAGATCCAACCAAGGGCAAGTAACCATCAAATCCATATATATATATATATATATTGAATATTGTATCAAATTCAAAGCATATCTAGTTATATTAAACACTTACATGTTTATTATCACAATATCAGCAATGACCAAAGCGAATAAAGCACTTTGTTTCTCAAATGCAGTGTCATCCTGAAAATAACAGAAATCCCCGAGTGTTTGAATACAAACAAAAGTTTTGAGAATTAAGCAAGTATTCACTATAAATACAGATAATCTTGCAACAATCCACCTTTATTAAATCGATTAACAGACCAAAATTTATCACAAAAATATAGTTGGAATAACTAATTAATAGGCTTGGTATATTTAGTCACATACACAATTGAGAGGTCCATTATATAGGGTTCTTTTGGGTCAAGTTATCACCATATTTCTAGCAATTGCCTCTATAAAACAAATTCTGAGAAAATTTGACTTTATCAATTTTTCTTCAAATTAAGCTAATTATTCTTACCTCGCCTCTTTCACTTCCATCAGTACCCTCCAAATCCATGGCAACAACACAAGGCTCAAAACCAGCACACTTTTCAATCCAAATGCCTTGGGTGGTTTGAGGCCTGCAATGAAAACTGGATCACTTTTTGCATATATAACACTCGTATGAAAGCATGCAGCTGTATAGTATAAAAGAGTAAATACATATTTCTTCCTTTAGAATGAGAATAATGAAAGAACAAACCTTCCTTTGGATGCATCCATCTCTTCGAAATTTGTATGGAAAAGATGATTCAAGAGACTGCTCTTCCCTGTTAATAGAGCAGGATGGTTTTTAGTTTACAAGCTAGACACTTAATTATAAGCATATATACATTGTATACATTTACAGAGTGGAAAAGCTAAATACTAGTTCTATGGGGTATTGTCACCTAGATTTTTATTATTATCAATTTTATAAATTTTTTACTTACAACGAAAAATTATAGAGGCATTTATTCACTTATAAATATGAATTTCATAGTAAAAATTTTTTTAATAAATTTTATATTATTTTAAAATATATTAATTAAATTATAAAATAATAATTATATGTGAAAATACTTTCTTGATATACCTGATTAAACTTGACGTCGACGTTCAAAAATATAAGGATATTCTTAAATTTATGATAGTTATTCCAACTTTAAAATATTTGGAAACGGTAGAGACTGTATTAGCGTATTTATATACTCAGGATACCTCTAATTTAATTGATCCACCTTAATATATTTAGCTAAACATGTCATTCATTATATTATATATTTTAATAATAATTTAATGAGTATTATTTTTAATAAGCCATGTTTGATACATAAAATCATTAATAAGATAAGATAATAATTATTTATATCATATTTGATTTGTATTTTTAAAAAAAGATAGGGATTGCAAGGAACATTAATATCTTCTTAGCATAAGATTATTCAATTCTCCAAAAGTAAAAGGATTATTTTTTAATCCATAGAATTAAATTTATATATCTAATTATACCATTAAAAATTATATTAATAATTTAAATTATATAAACTTTTAAAAAAATAATTTTAATAAATAAATAAATTATCATATCCTAATCTTTACATACATCAAAAACAAAATAAGATAACATTATTTAATCTAATCATACTTATAATATCATTTTATCTTATCCTATCATAATTTTATGTACTAAAAATGATCTTAATTTATTAAATAAATATAAAAATATAAATATTTCATTTCATTAATTATATTGTTTTATGTATTATTTATTTATTATTTTATCATATCCATTTAAATTTAATATCTAAGTTTCATTTAATGATAGATTATATTATTTTGATATAATAAAACTTTAATAACTTAAATGACTTATGGTAAGTGGATTTGTTCAAATATTAGGCCATGCGTGTAATTTAGCCATTGAATGAGTTTTGGAGCTCGATCTCAACCTAGCTTAACTTGAATAACTATTTAATAAATAAAAATATATTTATTTAAAATCAATCTTAAAAATATATGTAATATTAATATAATAATAATTTTTTAATATTTTTATACAGTAATCGAATCAATTCGATTCAATTTTAGTAACTTTTTGAAAGCTCTTAGAAAGCAACATGTGGGATCTAAACAGGTGTCACTTCTCATGATGTGGGATCTAAAAAAAATTAAACACAAAATTTGATCAATATATACTTACTATAACAGCTAGTCAAATACTTTTATCATGGTTTTTATGCTGTTGTCTTTTAATGCAAGGGCTGGATTTCTTTTAGTTATTTTTAATCGTGTTTAAACTTATAAAGTTGACTTAAAAAAAAAAAACTTCATTTTCAGGTCTTGTGTAGAAGAAAAAGAACTGAAGGAGAAGAATCCATATAGTGCACACACCGCTGCTTTGGGGTCCCATGATGCCGACAACAGCATAAGAGAGGCCGCACTCAGAAAACTTGGTTTTCTGCATGAATTCTTTAACTCCGGCAACATTGAATTCTCCTTCTCTGTTAATCAATTGCATGGAGCAGTGGTCAATATTTTCCATCTCCAAAATCAGCAAGAATCGCCTCAAGATCAGGGATGGCTCTTCCGCAACAAGTGAAGATATTCGATCGTACTAAACAAACAAGCAACCGATTAACGAATCTTACAAGTAAAAACAGCTTGATGTTATTAAACTTGACACCAAAAACATGGAAATTAAGAAACACCTTCTACTTTACCTTATTATGCTTGCTTTTCCAATCTGCCAGCAAGCCTCTTCTGTTGTTACAAGCGTATGAAATTAAGTAGGAAAGCCTCTTTCATTTATTCTTTCTTTCCTTTTTTTTAACTGAGTCTTCAAGTTATTGGTCAATATATAGTCTTTCAAATATCAATAAAGTTATGCAGAAAGACAAGCAGAGGATCCCAGAAACAGTTAAGGTATTTAACTGCCTAACAGACAGCTACAAAAGTACAAATGCGATACAAACTATATATATATATATATATATATATATATACACATATGTGCATGCATGCACGAGAGAAATTTAATTTATATTAAAAAATTATATATTTTTTTAATCATTAATTTTAATAAATTTAAGAAATAAAATTTAATTTTTTTAATAAATTGTCCTTTATATAAAAAGGTGGGATCAACTTACACAATATAATTCTTTTATTTTTATATTTTTTTAATTATTAATTTTAATAGATTTAAGAGATTAAAGAAGCAAGCAAAAATAAGAAAAATGGTTTAATATCATAGATCTAATAAAATCAATAATTCAAAAATATGTAAAACAAACAAAATTACAATGTATAAATTGATCCCTCTCATTCATATATATATATTGATGCTATTCTTATGATTAATTATATTGATGCTATTCTTATGGTTAAGCTAGAACAACACTAATATAACAGTTTAAAATGGATTTTAAAACAATATGATTGACAAGCACCATGATAAGGAATTCTGTCTGTATATGTACAAACTAGCTAGGCTTTTGTCCTGCTTCGTGTACTTTAGCTCATAATTACAATAAAATTAACCCGATGGTTCAAGAAATAGAGCTGTATAATAGATTCAATTTGTAAGTTGCAAATTTTCTTGGGCTTGCTTAACCAAAAAATTTGTCCAAAATTTCTAATTAATTTTAAAATCTTAGAAGTGTTAGATTCAAGTATTATTATGTGTTAGTTTGATTAAATTTTATATTAAATTTATTTAATTATATTATAATTTATTAATTGATTATTCAATTATTTTGATATAATTTTATAAAAATATATATAATCAATATCGATTAATTTTTTTGAAATATGAATTAATAAGGTTGAAATTACTCTCCCTCTTTGAAGAAATTACAGTTAGCTAGAGAAAGACATAGATGGATTAAAAAGTATCAGGAAAATTTAACTATAACTTAACAGTTTCCGATTCCACACTTTATGAAGTTAGATCTTTTTGATAGATATGCTTTTGTATTTTTCTTTTTGTTTTTTCTTCATTTTTTTCTTCTTCTTCGTTTCTAGGGGAGGTGATTTCCTGGAAGCTCGTTTTGATGTGAATTTCGGTGATGAGAGTGATTGATTGGGTATTTGTATTGGACTTTGTTTACATTAAAAATGGGCCTTGTATTGGGCTTGCTTTTTTTTAACATAGGAAAAAGAAATCTAAAAAGCCTGTATTCTCCCCCCCACAGTCAACGCCGTCCCTTTTTCTTCACTGCCCTCTTTCGCCGTCGTTTAAGCCACGCGCCGCTGCCTCGCCGGTCTTTCTCTCAATTTTAATCGAGACTTAATTTTCAGGTTTGCTTCCTTAAATAAATTTCAATCTTTTCTCCTTTTCATTTTTTCCAGTTTTAATTGCCGCTTAATTTCTTTTTCCAAACCCTCGGGATTTCAATTGGCCCCCAAATGGGAAAAAACGATTTCTTAACCCCCAAAGCAATCGCAAATCGAATCAAAGCCAAAGGTCTCCAGAAGCTTCGATGGTACTGCCAAATGTGCCAAAAGCAATGCCGAGACGAAAACGGATTCAAATGCCATTGCATGAGCGAATCTCACCAACGCCAAATGCAAATCTTCGGGCAAAACCCGGACCGGATGGTATCCGGATACTCCGAAGAGTTCGAAAAAAACTTCCTCGACCTCATGAAACGTAGCCACCGGTTCAGTCGCGTCGCCGCCACCGTCGTTTACAATGAGTTTATCCATGATCGACATCACGTTCATATGAATTCGACCCAATGGGCTACGTTAACGGAGTTCGTTAAGTATTTGGGACGAACCGGGAAGTGTAAGGTTGAAGAGACGCCCAAAGGTTGGTTTATTACTTATATTGATAGAGATTCAGAGACTATATTTAAGGAGAAAATGAAGAATAAAAGGATTAAATTGGACATGGTAGAGGAAGAGAAACAGAGAGGGAAATTCAAAAGCAAATTGAGAAAGCTGAGCAGTTAAGAACGCCATTGGAATCTGAGGAGAATGTTAAAAAGGCTGTAACAAAAGAGTTGAATTTAGAGAGTGGAGTGAAAATAGGGTTTTCTTTAGGAGTGGGAAATGTCTCAAAAGGAGAGAAAGGGGAGAGTTCAAATACTTCTAGAATGGTTTTCGAAGAGGAAGAGAATGATAAGAAGAATAAGAATGAGAGGAAAGAGAATAGTGGGAGGAAAAATGCTTTGGAAGAGTTGATGAGGGAAGAGGAGAAGGCGAAGGAGAGAAGTAATAGGAAAGATTATTGGCTTTGTGAGGGGATAGTTGTGAAGGTGATGAGTAAAGCATTGGCGCAAAAAGGGTACTATAAGCAGAAAGGAGTTGTGAGGAAAGCGATAGATAGGTATGTAGGGGAGATTGAGATGCTTGAGAGTAAGCATGTGTTAAGAGTTGATCAGGAAGAGCTTGAGACTGTGATTCCGCAAATTGGGGGAATGGTAAGGATAGTAAATGGGGCATATCGTGGGTCGAATGCAAGGTTGTTGGGTGTGGATACAGAGAAGTTTTGTGCAAAGGTGCAGACTGAGAAAGGGGTGTATGATGGGAGAGTGCTTAAGGCTATCGAGTATGAGGATATATGCAAAGTTGCTCAGTGAGTTCTGCCTATTATTTTGGCATATAGTGATGGAATTTGATATTTTTGCTCTTTATCAGTTGTTCCTCAAAACCCTATAGCTTTGCTATGATGGTTTTTGTTTGCTAATGTATCATTTGCTTGATAAATGCTAAGAAACTGTGTTAAAAACTTTCACTATCCTTAGTCTTCTGGAAATTTCAGCATTCTGAATTGGTAAATTTTTAGGGATCAGGACCCCTAACAGTGAGTAAATTGATTATTCATCAATTTCTATGCTAGTATGCTTATTTTCTTGCTTATTTTCCTTGTGTTTTCTAGGTAGCCGAATTGAATGGATCTCATTTACCTACACATCCAAATGCAAATATAGTGCCTTAAACTTGATCTAAGAAACTATGTACTCCTCCAATTCAAAACTTCCATGGAATGCCTTAATTTGCTGACAAGTATTTTCCTTAGTGGATTCTTTGGCCCTAACTTACATATGTAGGATAGCTAATACCACAAAACTAAGATTCTTTATTTTCTATTTTCTACATTTGGTTGCCTCTTGTGTTGGCTTCTGGAATGGCTTTGTAGCTTGAGAATTATTAGATTGCTGGAATCCTGAAAACTTAATTTTTGTTTTAGTTAGAGATTGAACCTTAATGTATTGGCTCAACACAAAGTTGATGTTAGTTAGGTTATGAGCCCAACCAACGGGCTAGGTTTGAATATGTGGACGATGGAAGAGTGCTGAAGGCTATTGAGTGTGAGGCTATATAAATAGTTTCCCAATGAGTTCTAACGGAGAATTTTAGCTTATGTTGATAGAATCTGATCTTCTTGTCGTATCAGTTGTTTTCAAATCATAGAGCTTGCGTTGATGTTGTATCAGTCTAATCCCATTAGAACAGCATACTTTGATTTTCTAGCACAATGTAGTGATCTAGGCAGCCCGATATTTAGCATATCTCCTATGAAATAAAAGCTTCTGCAACTTAGTACTGTATGATAAATGAGTACAGTTTCCAATGTTTTCGCTGCCAGCCTTGATTTCTACTATAATTCAAGAAAATCATGCTGTTATTGAGTGTGATAGAGAGTTTTAGCTGAAAATTAGGTGAAGAAAGCAAGGAAAAGAGAATGGAACTTGTGGGAAGTTGCCCTGCCTTGTGGGATCTGAATTTCTGTTACAAGTAACATGTATTCTTTTTCTGGTTTAGCCTTCTAGCAAATGTTTATCATCTAAAACAGCAGTGATCAGCTTAACAGGGGCAGAAAGAGAGGTGTGGGGTGGCTGGCTCCATGGTGGCAGCCGCCTTTATTTAAGAAGAGGCTGACAGCTGAAGCCCCTACCTCTTACCAGCCTAAAGTCAATGGTGGCCAGAATGAATTGATGGGTACAAAAATGCTTAGTTTGATGGGGAAGACGTCTTTCTTTGGCGCTTTAATTTATTAATTTAGTTATGCAGCAGCGTTCAACTACTCACAAGAACGACATTAAGATAGTGATAAATAAATTTTGTATCTCCAAAAGCCAAAGCAGAGTTTTCGCCTTAGCTTAAGATGGAAAAATTTTATAAGGCTTAGAAATTTGAATATCATACTTAAATGACAGTAGCCTGATTTAAATTTGACAGTTTAAATTTAGTTAAATTAATATGACAAATAAAAATAATGATATTTTAATCTCATTTGTAAAATTTGTAGCTTTATATAAGTTAGTAAAATGTATCATATGACAATTTTTTAGTTGTGGAATTTAAAAAATTTACCAATCATAATAAAAACGAACTCCTATATATATCAAGTTAAATTTTAAGAAGAAAGCTTTGAGATTTATCCTGTGACGGAAGTAATCTACCTATATACTAATCTTGTAAGCAAGATGATGACGTGTCAAGACCATCATCGTTAAATCAGAACCCACTGCACGTGGAGGCCAGGAATCGTGTCAGCTTTATCGAGCAATTCAGATGGGGTGTGGTTCATCA